AAAAACCCCCACAAACCTTCAGTTACTTCCTGGTTTCCATGCCAAATTATGTCATACATCCCAGGAGGGGAAGAGGGCCCTTCTCAGCTAAGAACAGAAAGTCTGCATGCCTGGGCTAAGGGTAGATGGATTCCAAGAAGGAAATGCAACAAGAATCATCTGCTCCTGGAGTGTCATACATCCCAGGATTCTTCAGGAGGGCCCTTCTCAGCTAAGAACAAAAAGTCTGCATACCAGGGCTAAGGGTAGATGGATTCCAAGAAAGAAATGCAACATGAATCATCTGCTCCTGGAATGTCATACATCCCAGGAGTCTTCAGGAGAGGAGGAGGGCCCTTCTCAGCTAAGAACAGAAAGTCTGCATGCCTGGGCTAAGGGTAGATGGATTCCAAGAAGGAAATGCAACATGAATCATCTGCTCCTGGAATGTCATACATCCCAGGAGTCTTCAGGAGGGGAGGAGGGCCCTTCTCAGCTAAGAACAGAAAGTCTGCATGTGTGGGTTAAGGGTAGAATGATTCCAAGAAGGAAATGCAACATGAATCATCTGCCACGGCCATAATTGCTAGGGGGGGTGTTTTTCAAAGTGATTTCTCAGCAAAATAAAGAGACACGGCTGGATTGGGGAGTTTGCTCTGAATATTAAAAATGTATTAAATAGCATTTTTGGTTTGTGGTGCTCAGATGCAGTGCAGTTCTGCTTTAATCTCCCCAAAGTCTGAATCCAAAAATGTACAATCCTTGGTCTGGCTTGAAGTGAGTCTGAGAAATGCAGGTGGGCTGCCATTGCGGACTTCTTTTTGAAAATGGCAGTTGCCTGGGTGAAATACAGACACTGATTCTACCAAACCCAGAAAGTGTGTAGATCAGGAAGGTTGTGAGGTCATTAGTCCCTGTCTGGGTGTTCCGGGTTCGTGGCACAGTACAGCAGAGATTAGACATGTTTGCTGCTTATTGTATTATTGCACAATTGTGCGTGGTTTTCTTTTTCCTATACTATTGATTAGACATGACAAACAGGCAACTTGTATTTTCAGGAGAGTTGAGCAATGGCAGCCTTGCTGTTTGACTGTTGGGTGTCAGACAATCACAGATAGAGAGAAGCAGCAAAGCACAGTCACTGTGGATTAGGGTGAAGTAGGAAACAGCCTAAATATATAATATGAGCAAAGATGGCTGCCTCTATGTACACATTAGGTTTAGAATTTCTACACAAAAACATTTTCCCCAGCATTAGCACTTATTGGTAAGATTCCGTACATGACGCTGACCACATTCACATACTGTATATCATAAAATGACTATAGTTTCCCTTTAATCTATAATAGTCTCTCCCACCCAAGCCATGGGCACGATTGATTGAGTGGAGAAGACATATCAAAACTACCAGATTTTTTTTTTTTTCCCTGCGTGCCAACTATCCAAGCTGTCAGGAAGCAGGGGCAGCCATAGCATGTCAGTTCATTCAGGTCACCCGCCCAGCACTATAACAGACATACATGAGATCCTTAGGGTGAGTGACAGAATGAAAACCCAAATCCAGAAAGGACTGGTACCATCACCTTTTGACAATAGAGGTGTCAGAAATGGGACTGAGGGCCAGTTCACGTCTGTGCAGTGCCATTTACATGCATTTTAGGGGCATTACCATTCAACTCTGTAGAATGTGCGTTTTGATGAAAGCACAGCAAAGATGCAGCATGCAGGACTTCTTTTTTCCTTAACACACCGCACCTAAAATGCACAGGTGTGAACGGGGCCTACAGCTGCATCATACAGGTATTTTTTTTTTTTTTTTTTTTTTTTTTTTTTTAGAATTGCCTAAAACACATGAAGATGGCAATTACATGGTCCAACTTTTGTAATAAATAATCTTTACAGAAAAAGAAAAACATATTTATGGGAAACGCACTGAAAAGTGTCCAGCAAAAGGTTTATCTGAATAGATCTATTTTACATCACCACATTGCTGCAATCCCCTATCCAAAAAAGCCAAAAACACTCTCTAGTAGCACAGTGCGGACCTGGAATCCCAGCTATGTGCTTTTACATAGATACGGTGTACATTCCTCTCTGAGACAAGCAGTTGATACCTTCTCAGAGTACAGAGAACGGATACTGCAAGAGCCTACACAAGAGTCAGAGGAACAATAAATACTATGTACAGAATTAAAGAGAAACTTTGCCCAAAATATTTCTCAGGTTTGGAAGAGGTGGCATGGGGTTAAAGCCCAAATGAACTTACTTTTGGAATCAATTAAATCCATTTCAGGTGCATTAAAGCAGGGGTGCTCCACCTTTTGAAGCGCAAGAGCCACTTAAGTGATTTGGTATCCGGTCATGGGTTACAAAAAAAACAAAATGGTTCAGAATTTCACATTTTTTATTTAGAATAGCATAATGAACATTTTCCTCCTGCAGCTGCTGATTGCCGGCGGGAGGGAGAGGAGGAGAAGCCGGATGTCAGTAGTTGCTGGAAGAAAATGGAGAGCATTGGTTCCTGTTGCCCCTCCTGTCCAAGTGTAAAACAGAATGTAACAGGGAGGTCGCACGGGCCTCCTGGAGAATAGTGACCCCTGGTGCTACACCAGTGATTTGGGGGGGGGGGGGGTATGGGAAAAACCACCTGCCCCCCCCCAAAACTGCAAATGTAAACAAGTCCTTACTGCCATGAGCCCCCTATAAGGCTGCTTTCACACTGATGCGCTTCAGTTTACCCGCTCCGTGGGTGCAGCACAGTGCGCTTGTGGCTTTCCTGCGACACTACCGTAGACTTCTATTATATCTTGGGAATGTGGTGCACGTTCTGAAAGTGCACCAAAACCCCTGCATTCAGAATACAGTTCAAGGCCACATCAAAGGGCTTCGAGGGCCACAGGTTTAGCACCCATCTTACAGTTTGTTTCCCTTAGAGAGTAGCCACTGCCCAAGTAAAAAAAGCCTGTCCTTGTTTGCTAAAAAGCAGGCTGGAGGGAAGTTTGTGAGTGTATGTGTGAAGAGAGACTGCTGGTTCCCTACAGAGAGCAAGGGCCCTGTTCTACAGCACACTGGCAGGGGTTAGGCTCTTCTACTCAGGCTGTGGCTGCTTTCTAAAGAAAACAATCTGTAAAGGCTAGTTCACTTTTGTCTGCACAGTAAAATGTAGCATTTTACTGTGTGGGCAGCTGTCAATGTGTGCTCAGGCAAGGAGTGGTGTAATATATCACACGGTTTACTTTTTTTGACACTTCATTTCTGCACACAACAGCATGGTGTGTTGTGCTGCGGTGCAATGACTTGGTGCCATCAGGTGTGCTGTGGAAAAATGCAGCATATCTGCAATTTTTCACAGCACACTGGATGGCACCATGTCTCGCCAGCATTGTGGTGTGAATGGGGCACAAAGAAATCAATTGCTTTTTTTAATGTATTACCAGTGAGCTGCGTTTATCCACTGCAGAAAAGCGCAAGGCACCGTGCAAAGTGTGAACGAGCCCTAAGAGTTTGCACACCTTTTGCTTTGATGCCCTTGAAATAAATTGAGCTTTAATCTTGAACTGGTTAGTTACCCTGTCCAGGACCCCACCACAGCAATCGCCCAACTTGAGGTATGATGGCACTCTGGTGTATGTTGAAATATCTTGTTTTATAGATAGTGCCACTGCAGTGGCTACCTGTACAGTACGAAGTTTGTTTTTGGCTTGATGAACTATATACGTAATCCAAAAATACATATAAGTTGTCAGACTCCATAAGTTCTATAAACCACATCCTGGGCATTATGACTCAATGGGGTTGACTTATTGAAGGAGTAAAGTCTGTTCACATAGCAAAGTAAGTATTAGTAAATAAGGTGAACCTCTGAATACCCAAACATATGCTATCAAAAACCTATCATGGTGGGCATACATCCAACTGGGGTCTTCAGGATAGACCGTGGCCCTTTATAGCACCCTGTGGCTAACTACACATATTGCACCATGGTGTGGTGAGTGCCCAAGTAGAATCCAGTGCCCAAAGCCACATTACAGACCTTCCTTCCCTGGCGTGGTGTCCAGGTACGGCTTCCAAAGTTTTACCGAAAGTGCATTGATCTGGAAGAACAGCTTCTATTGTTGTATTAGAAGACAGTGAAAAGGGGATTGAAGAATCCAAAGAAAATCATGAACTAGTTAGAGTGGTAAGAGAGAAGAGGTCCATCAACTAAAAGACACTAGCCAAAAACGCAAGGAGTGGTGTAGGAAAATAGGGGGATGCCCAAGGGGCGTGTCTTCAAAAGCTTTGCCAGTGTCCAATCACCTGAAGGTAGCAGCCTATAACCCAGGGTCTTTGAACATCCAGCCTGTGTCCTGTACTGTACGATTAGTACATCCTGGTTTTCATTTTAACATCCCTAGCACCTGATTGGATGTTTAAAGGTTCACCTTATTACCAATACTCACTTTTCTACATGAACAGCATATGCTATGCAAATGAACTATGATGACTGTTCTAAATAAGGTGCCTTTTATATATATATATATTGTTTAATAGGTTGATCCTTATGTCTAAAAACACAATCTATACCCCAAATATAAACAAAGTATTAAAACAGATACAATTCTAAAATACAAAGAAGAATGTATTTTTCGCTATCCCCATCCTGCTTATCAGTGTTTTTTTAATATATTTTATTGCTTTAAGATATAAAAGTAAGAATTTCTAGTTAAACGCTCAAAAAACAAGGCAGCATTTTACAGCATAAAGTGTGGTTCAGTGTACTTTTCACCATTTTTACATAAATACAGAAAAATAACTTATTAAAAAAAAAGAAACATAAAAAAATTAAAAAGTTGCCTTCTGCATGAAAGGTCCAACTCTTGGAAGGATGTTTCCACCTGGGACTTCTCCAAGACATTTTCAGGATTAAAAAAAAAAATGAGTTATGTTTAAATGAGTCTTGAGCTCTCAAGGAACTGGATAAGCACTTGATAGACAAATTTGTACTGCGCGATGGTCTGGATCATGAACATTCTTTGTTCTCGGAGATAATTTAGCATCACTGGAATCTCAATTTTCTGTTGGGAGGGGAAAAAAATATACAGGGCAGTCAGACACAGGGATCCATTAGAAAAACCCTAACTTGGTTTACGGTCTGCATCAGGATTAACATGACAATGCAATACAAAATTTACTGTGGGTGTGACAATCAGAACTGTTAGCTGCAGCATCTAGGCATACAGTGAGGAACAGAAGTATTTGAACACCCTGCGATTTTGCAAGTTCTCCCACTTAGAAATCATGGAGGGGTCTGAAATTCACATTGTAGGTGCATTCCCACTCAGAGACAGAATAAGAAAAAAAATTCAGGAAATCACATTGTATGATTTTTAAAGAATTTATTTGTCTTGCACTGCTGAACAAAAGTATTTGAACACCTAAGAAACAGCAAGAATTCTGGCTCTCAAAGACCTGTTACTGTGCCTTTAAAAAGTCCACCTCTACTCCACTCATTAATCTAACTTAGTAGCACCTGTCTGAGCTCTTTAAAGACACCTGTCCACCCCACAGTCAGACGCCAACTACTACCATGGGCAAGACCAAAGAGCTGTCAAAAGACACCAGAGACAAAATTGTGGACCTCCACAAGGCTTGAAAGGTATACGGGGCAATTGCCAAGCAGCTTGGTAAAAATAGATCAACTGTTGGAGCAATTGTTCGAAAATGGAAGAGGCTAAAGACAACTGTCAGTCTCCCTCAGACTGGGGCTCCATGCAAGATCTCACCTCGTGGGGTATCACTGATGATAAGAAAGGTGAGGAATCAGCCCAGAACTACAAGAGAGGAGCTGGTCAATGACATGAAGAGAGCTGGGACCACAGTTTCAAAGGTCACTGTCGGTAGAACACTACGGTAGAAGGTTCCCCTGCTCAAGTCATCACATGTCCTGGCCCGTCTGAAGTTTGCCATTGACCATCTGGATGATCCAGAGGAGGCATGGGAGAAAGTCATGTGGCCAGATGAGACCAAAGTAGAACTTTTTGGTCTAAACTTCACTCGTCGTGTTTGGAGGAAAAAGAAGGATGAGTTGCATCCCAAGAACACCAATCCCTACTGTGAAGCATGGGGGGTAGTACCATCATGCTTTGGGGGTGCTTTTCTGCGAAGGGGACAGGACGACTGCACTGTATTAAGGAGAGGATGAATGGGGCCGTTTATTGTGAGATTTTGAGCAACAACCTCCTTCCCTCAGTCAGAGCATTGAAGATGGGTCGTGGCTGGGTCTTCCAACATGACGACCCGAAGCACACAGCCAGGATAACCAAGGAGTGGCTCCGTAAGAAGCATATCAAGGTTCTGGAGTGGCCTAGCCAGTCTCCAGACCTAAATCCAATAGAACATCTTTGGAGGGAGCTGAAACTCCGTGTTGCTCAGCGACAGCCCCGAAACTGACAGATCTAGAGGAGATCTGTGTGGAGGAGTGGGCCAAAATCCCTGTTGCAGTGCAAACCTGGTCAGGAACTACAGGAAACGTTTGACCCCTGTAATTGCAAACAAAGGCTTCTGTACCAAATATTAACAATGATTTTCTCAGGTGTTCAAATACTTATGTTCAGCAGTACAAGGCAAATACATTCTTTAAAAATCATACAATGTGATTTCCTGAATTTATTTTTTAATTCTGTCTTTCAGAGTGGGAATGCACCTACAATGTGAATTTCAGACCCCTCCATGATTTCTAAGTGGGGGAACTTGCAAAATCTCAGGGGGTTCAAATACTTCTGTTCCTCACTGTAGAGCAAAGTGCTGTAGAGGGGCTTGAAAGCTGAATTCCTAGTATGGCTTTTTTGTTCTTTGCATAGTCACACTGGTTAGCTCGAACCAATATAGGTATGTATACCCCCCATACCTGTGGGATCCCTGTGGAAGGCGACAATCACTATAGTAGTCACTGCTACTACAATGATCACCACTATCTTCTGGGTCCCTTGCCAAGCAGCTATGCTGCTACAAAGTGAATAGAGGGGGTTGCTCGCTCAGCAGAGGCATCCTCACAAAAAGCCTTGCATTTTTCTCAATGAATGCAAAATGTTCTGTGATTGGACAAGGTGACATTTGTAAAGTCACTGCCATGCCTTGCCACCTTGTCCAATCAAAGAAGGCCTTGTGTTCTTTGAAAAAAATACAAGGCATTCTATGAATGGTGCTCTTGCCAAGTAATTGACCGCCCCGTGTTTACTGTGCAACAGGGCATCCCCTCGGAACAGGACCCAGAGTATAGCAGCAACCAGTGGGGATTACTATAGTGACCTTCCACAGGGATCCAACAGGGATAGCATATACAGTTAGGTCCATATATATTTGGACACATTTGGAAAAATGTTAGTTTTATTTAGGTATTTACCAAAACATATTCAAGCTATAGTTATATAATGGATATGGGCTGAGAGTGCACACTCTCAGGTTTAATTTGAGGGCATGTACATCCAAATTGGAGGAAGGGTTTAGGAATTTCAACTCTTAAAGAGTAGCCATCCCCCCTTTTTCAGGGGACCAAAAGTATGGACAATTGAATCAAAAGCTGTTTCATGGCCAGGTGTGGGCTACTCCTTTGTTATTTCCTCATCAATTAAGCAGGTAAAAGGTCTGGAGTTGATTCTAAGTGTGGTATTTGCATTTGGAATCTACTGCTGTGAACCTACATCATGTGTTCAAAGGAGCTGTCCATGCAAGTGAAACAGGCCATTGTAAGGCTTCAAAAACTAAACAAATCCATCAGAGAGATAGCAGCAACATTAGGAGTGGCCAAATCAACAGTTTGGTACATTCTGAGGAAAGAAGAACGCAATGGTGAGCTCAGCAACATAAAAAGGCATGGAAGTCCACAGAAGTCAACAGGGGTGGATGATCGCAGGATCCTCTCTATGGTAAAGTAAAACCCATTCACAACATCCAGACAAGTGAAGGACACTCTCCAGGAGGTGGGCGTATCATTGTCAGTCTACAATTAAGAGAAGACTTCACGAGAGCAAATATAGAGGGTTCACCACAAGGTGTAAACCATTCATAAGCCTGAAGAATAGAAAAGCCAGATTAGACTTTGCCAAAAAAACATCTAAAAAAGCCAGACCAGTTCTGGAAAAGTATTCTTTGGACGGATAAAACGAAGATTAATCTGTACCAGAATGAGGGGAAGAAAAAAGTGTGGAGAAGGCTTGGAACAGCTTGGAACAGCTCATGATCCAAAGCACACAACATCATCTGTAAAACATGGTGGAGGCAGTGTGATGGCATGGGCATGCATGGCTTCCAGTGGCACTGTGTCATTGGTGTTTATTGATGATGTGACAGAAGACAGAAGCAGCCGGATTCATTCTGCAGTGTTTAGAGATATACTGTCAGCCCAGATTCAGCCAAATGCAGCAAAGTTGATTGGACGGCGCTTCACAGTACAGATGGACAATGATCCAAAACACACAGCAAAGCAACCCAGGAGCTTTTGAAGGAAAAGAAGTGGAATATTCTGCAATGGCCAAGTCAATCTCCTGATCTCAACCCAATTGAGGATGCACTGCACTTGCTGAAGGCAAAACTAAAGGCAGAAAGACCCACAAACAAAGAACAACTGAAGACAGCTGCAGATAGAGCCTGGCACAGGATCAGAAAGGAGGAAATCCAGTCTTTGGAAATGTCCATGAGTTCCAGACTTCAGGCAGGCGTTGCCAGTAAAGGGATTCTCAACAAAATATTAAAAATGTATATTTTATTTATGATTATATTCTTTTCTCCAATTACTTCTGGTACCTTGAAAAAGGGGTGGCGGCTATTATTAAGAGCTTTAATTCCTAAACCCTTCCTCCAATTTGGATGTACATACCCTCAAATTAAACTGAGAGTGTGCACTTTCAGCCCATATCCATTATAGCTTGAATATGTTTTGGTAAATACCTGAAAAAAAATCAAAAATTGTGCCGGTGTCTAAATATATATGGACCTAACTGTATGCATACTTGTGTTGGTCCAAGCTGGGCTCTGAAAATAACTTTAAAGCTGAATTCCAGGTATGGCTTTGTTTTCAGCTATGCAACTAAAGCCATATCTGGAATTCAGCTTTAAAATGGGAATCAATACAAAACTATGATTTAGTTTTGGATAGAATGGAGAGGGGTTAATTTGGCTCCCACTGATGTCCATCAAATCTAGTGATGAGGGAGTAGGGGTCAGGGCCAAGCCACGCTGTCTATAGCTGCAGGTAGCATGGCTCAGAAGCGAGCCTGCATGAGTGCCTCCATAGGAAGTTGCTTTCTATGGCGGCACTTGCTGAAGACGTGGATCTAGCAGCGCCAGTGGGGGACCTAAGAAGAGGATTGGGGCTGCTGTGTGCAAATCCATTGCATAGAGCAGGTAAGTATGACATATCTGTTACTTAAAAAGGAAAAAAAAAGGTTTACAATCACTGTGTGTGTCCCTCAATGGATGAGAAAGAAAAACACTTTTACTAGAGTTGAGTATTTAATACTTTATTCAGGTTTTTCCTGCTGTCTGTGTCCCTATTGTGGGGTTTTCAACTTACTGTTTTGGGACATGCTGTGACAGGGGGTCACCAAGACAGACAGTGGCAGAATATGCTGACTGGAGGAAAGAGCAAAGTGACAGATGATGTGTGTGATATTGCTCTGACACTGCCCACTCGGGAAGCTAAAGGTATATTCTGAACCAAACGGTGTTGCCACTAAAGCGGAGATCAGAACCAGACAAGGGTGTATGGATCACAAATTACAAAATTCAACTTTGTATTTAGCTGCTTGGCTGGAGCCCAGCTTTAAGTGGTCCATTGTGATGATGATCCCGAAATGTTGTGGGGTGGCATGGTTGAACTGGAGGTTGGGAAAGATCTTGTTCCTGGAGTCACTCACTCATCTCTTACTGTAAGCGTCCAGGGCATGGTTACAGTACCTTCCTTTTACATGGAAGGCACAGTGTGTTTCTAATGAAGTGAAGGGCTACTTACCTCATTGTTCTCCAAGCAGCGCATCATCAGCTCAGTCAGGATGACCACTCCAGTTCTTCCAACACCGGCACTACAATGAACCAACACCGGAGGATTGCAATGGCTGCTACTGTCCAGCATGCTGTTAGCGTGACGACGGACCGACTGGATCTCTTCCAAATACGCTACAGAATGTAAGAATAAATTATTTTTAAAAAGTACAAACAAGGCTGTGAAATGCCAATCATTAGTGCTTAATAAATCTTACATAAAAATCCTTGGACCTCTTCAGGACAGCCGTGATCTGGCCAGTCGGTAAACTGCAAATGCCACACGGTTCTTTCTTGCCCGGACATAAGGTGTTTGATCTTTAACCCAGTCGTCGCATAGCAGCCGGAATCGGTGCGGAAGTTGGTGGTCACTTTGAATTTTCCGTATGTAGCCGAGTTATGTCTGGATCCCAGCTTGGGCCAGTAACGGTGACTCTTGGCTCTTCCTTCCTCCTGGAGAGTACATTAATATTGGTCATCAACCAAAAATAGCCAATCAAAGAAGAACTAGAAATCAAAAGCCAAAACTTTTTATTGTTGATTTGGATAGCGTAGGGAAAAGCTAAGACCTTGGTCAAGGTTTTATTGCTGTCTCTGTCAGTGTTGGGGAGATTTGCCCTCTTTATTTGTCCTGGTGGCCTTCACCAGGAGAGAAAATCTGAAATTGTTCGTTGTCACCAGAACAGGAATAAAGGCACATCTTTCAACAGGGACACTGGTTCCTGTCACAGCTGTGTATTTGATAATTCCTGTGCTTTGGAGAAAATACCTTTCACTTCTTCTCTAGGACAGGAAGTGAAGATAATTCTCCCCAATGGGGCACAGATGGCAAAAAACCAAACATGAAAGTGATAAGCCAAGCTGATCATATAATCTCATGTATATTCACTTGAGCTCCAAAAGGTTTTACCACCTTCATGACCAAGGCACTTTTTCTATTCAGCACTGCGCTACTTTAACTGGCAATTGTGCAGTCATGCAATACTGTTTTTCTTAGTGGTGTTTGATCACCACCGAGTTTTATTTTTTGCAGTGTAAACATTTTTTTAAATAAAAAGAAAAAACAACATTTTCTACTCTCTATTATAAAACATATCCAATAAAATCAAATTTCATCATAAATTTAGGCCAAAATGTATTCTACTACTTGTCTTTGGTATAAAAAAAATCCCAATAGGTGTATATTAATAGGTTTGCATGAAAGTTATAGCGTCCAAAAACTATGGTATACATACTTGAAAACTGATCAATTCTGATGTACTGACACCTATGTCATTTCTTAAGGCCCTAAAATGCCAGGACAGCACAAATTCCCCCCAAATGACCCCTTTTTGGAAATTAGACAATCTGAGGCATTTAGTAACAGGCATGGTTTGCTTTTTTTTGAAGTTGTAATCTTTTGTCACAATTTTTGTAAAAAAAGAAGAGATCTGATTTTTTTTTTCCACAATTTTTTTTTCTTTTTTTAACATACTATCACCAGTGCAGTACAACGTCATCATATGACTGATGTGGTGGTGATCAGGGATACTGACTGGTGACAGTACACTTTAAAAAAAATAAAAAATAAAATAATTCAACTATTGAAACAGGTTTTTTTTTTTTATAATTTTTTTCATATTTTACTTCTTTTTTTTTTTTTTACATACTTTATGAGAGTAGTTCAGTGTCATCTTGGTATCATTGTACTACTCTGAGGGGGTGATCAGGGATTTTTTTTTCCTTTTTACCCATTCTGCTGTTACATTGAAAATCATGTGACAGCTGAGGGCCAATCACAGCCTAGGAAACATAGCGGTTTATGAATGAATTAATTCATAACAGCCCTGTCGACATTGATCGAATCGCGATCACATAATCACCAGGCCCTAAGTACCGGGATCCACAATCTGCTGCGTCCGGTGGACACAGCAGTTACGGGTGTGGGGGGATGGGGGTTGGCGCGCCTCTCACCCCTGTACTTGAGCAGGCAAAATTACATGTACATGATTTTGCCTGCAGGTGCCGCCTGGCCACAGTATATGTAATGTGGCTGGTAGGACAAGTGGATATTTAAAATTGTAAATGAAAACAGATTTTATTTATTGTGCATGTGAAGGGTTGTTTAGTTTAGGAAAAAACAGAGAGGGGTTCGACCCTTTTTATTGCGGTCTGTGTCCCCATTGGGACGATTTACCCTCTATTTGTCATGGTGACTACTGTTGGGGAAAACCCCAAAATTCTGAGTTATCACCACAGTAAGAGATGAGAGGGGGGGGGGGACTTTCTAAGGGGGGACGCATGTTTATGTGACAGTTTTTTGAGAAAAGGAATCTTTCTTTAGAGAAATTTGCTTTAATTTCCTGTTATGTCTCCAAGACTGACAGGCAAAAAATAACCTGACAGAATAGGAAGAGGTTAGCTGCTTCAGGACCGCCTGCCACAGATTTACCGCAGAGTGACCCCCTGTGCTGGATCACATACATGATAATTGTATACATTTAATTTGTGTACAGTGTTGCATGATCACGCAATTGTCAGTTAAAGTAGCGCAGTGCCAAATATCCCTGGTCATGAAGGGAGTAAAACTTTACAGAGTTGAAGTAGTGACAACCCCTATCTAAAACTGAAAAGGTTTGGCTTTACATGCAATGTCAACAACATCACTTGCATTGTGAAAAAGCATTTTTCTACTACAAATGAAAAATACAATATATATGAAGCTAAAGACACAAGAGAATTTTCATGGTGGTGGCCTTGCTATGGGTTCCAAAAGTCTGGTGACTTAAAGTCCACGTTGCTGGCACAACAGTTCCTGCAGACCCCATCCCAAGCTGCATGGAAAGCACTCCCTGTTTAACTTGGCACTCCATGAAAGTAGCAGTGAGCGCCGTGGTGCCGTCACAGCCCAGAGGGGGTGTGGAATGTGATGCTGACCACCACCAGCCGGCACCATGACACAAGTGACACAATTGCAGAAGGAAACACAGCTTGGGGCCAGAGCAGAGATAGGATTGTTGTGTTTGGACATCACCCTGTAAATGTCAAGGAGAATTCCACAAAAAAGCCTACAAGATTAGAACCTTTGAAGCTGGAAAGAAAAACGACTGCTCATGTAACATTAAAGCCCAACTCCAGCCAATAACAACAACATATGACATGAAAATGAACAGCCCAATGAAAGATAAAATCCAGCTTTGATGCATTATTCAGAGTTTTTCCCCCGACAGTACGTTTTTTTTTTTTTTCTGCAACTAGACATCCATGATCTGATGACCAGAATCATTCAACCCACTTTGTTTGACCTCAAGTCATCCTGGACCCTTTCTAGCCTATGACTGGACAGTGAAAGGAGAAGCAGCACAGTGGTTAGCTCATCTCTGTCACTCTGCTCTCTCCTCCTGTCAGCATGCTTTTTGGCAGTACATGAACTGATTAGCTCCTTGAGCTGCTTCTAAATCTCACAATCCAGCTCTGCTTTACAGGGATTGCAAGAGGCTGATCACAGGTCAGTCCCAGGTATTTACACTGCTTGCATTTAAATATACAGTTAATTATATATTAAGGATTACAAAGCCGCATTAAAGTGGTTCTAAAACCTTAAGATTTTTTACCTTAATTTATTCTATCCATGAAGGGAAAAAACCTTCTGTGCTGCAGGATCAACATCCCCCCCCTTCGACCCCCCCTTTATACTTACCTGAGCCTGATACGATCCAGCGATGTGCATAAGTGCAGTGGCTCTCACTGCTGTCTCTATCCTCACTGATCAAATTGATAGCATCAGGAGCCATTCGCTCCCACTGCTGTAAACCAAATGCTGTAATGAGGGAGCAGGGAACGGGCCTGAGCCACCCGCTCTGTGTCAATAGACGCACAGAGGGTGACTTAAGAGTGAGCCCCACGGGTGCCCCCATGGAAAGTGGCTTTCCATGGGGGCACTGGTGATAGAGGAGGAGCCTGGAGAGCCGGTGGGGGACCCCAGAAGGGGAGGATTGGGGCTGCTCTGTGAAAAACCATAACATGTTTATTTTAATTTTAAAAAATGAAGGTTTAATGTTACTTTAACTTCTTTCATTTATATTTGCCTACAGATCCAGTTTACATTTTTAGTGTTTTCTAGATTGGAAAAGGTTTACAGGGTTATAAATGCTGACTGCCCCCTTATTAAATCGATTTCTCCTCATTACTTTAACCCTTCTATATTCTAAAGCAGTAGTCTCCAAACTGCGGCCCATTGCTTGCCTTTATCTGGCCCTTGGGGCACTATTCCACCAACTGACACCAATGATGGAGCACCATTCCCCCTACTGACACTATCAATGGGGCACTAATCTTCTCACTGATTTCAACAATGGTGCACTATTCCTCCTATTAAGACTGATGGGGCATTGATGCCAGGGATTTTCTACTCCCACTGGCTACAGTCCGGAACCCCTAAAGTCTGAAGGACAGTAAACTGGTCCTTTGCTTAGAAAGTTGGAGATCCCTGTTCTAGAGGGAAAATGTTTTTATTGTTGTGCTTTAGTTGGAGTGATTTCCCCTCACGTCCTACACTGTACTAATGGGGCCTCTGTCTACCTGTCAGGTTACACAGTTGATATTTTGGGCAAGTCCAGAGTTCTGTTTTAAGCATAGATGCAGATCACATTAATGGAGGTCACCACTATAGGGACCATATATTGTACAAATCTGTATACAGGCTGTACAGATGAAATAAGCTATTTAGTGAATGGAGTAGGTGGTCTGTAACTTTTCAATGAAAATTAGACCCCAGCAGATATTTTGGCCAAGCCCGGAGTTCAATTTTGCCAGTTGCATCTATTGGTATTGAGATGACAACTATAGGGACCATATGCTGTACAAACCTGTATATAACAGACAAAAAAAACAGTTAAAACGGAAGTCCACCCAAAAGGGGAAGATCCACTTGTTTGTATCCCCGCCCCCCCCCCCCCCCCTCCACTGGCACTTTTTTTTTGGGGGGAGTAGCAGGTACCTGGTCTTGACATGTACTTGGTCCCACTACTGGTCAGATGCACTGCGGCAATCTCAGTCGGAAGTTCCCTGCTCCCCCCCCCCCCCCGCTCCTTCCCTGCAGCCTTCTGGGACACTTCACAAGTCCCAGAAGACTGAGGAACCAATCACAAAGTGCAGTGCGCTTCGTAATGTAGTAGTAGGAAATCGGCTGCTTTAAGCACACTCGCAGGAGTGTAAAGTTCACAAGATGAATGTCATCCTTCCAATGGGACTGATCCAGTACAGCTAAATGATCACTTCCACAGACCTCTGGAACAGGGGGAAGGGGAAGGGCAATACTTTGGGCAATATATGGCATTTGTGTGCACTTAAATTTTAATTGTACTGTATTTTTCACTGAAAACATGGGTTTGATGAACATGTGTACTAATATTGTGTGATATAAAAAATTGGAACTACCGCTGTTTTATCCTACAGGGTCTCTGCTTTCAGAAAATACATGTTTGGGGGTTTGAACTAATCTCCAGGCCTAAAATGTGCATTTTAAAATCTGTGCAAAAAAAAAAAAAAAAAAAAAAAGGGGTCAACGTGGATGTAAATGCTCACTTGAAAACCTATGTCCATGTACTACAGAGAAATCCAAGACTGCAAGAACACTGCAAAAAAAAAAATTCTGCTGGGTTTTTAGTGGGCATATGACCATTCTGGCTCACACACCCAGCAGCAGTGGCTTGAGGTTTGTACTCTAGGGCACCTCAACATCAATTCCTCCTTTTGTCTCAAGCTATGCTTTGCAAAACCTTAGTGGTGTGAGTGTACCCAATAGGCTGAAATTGTCTGCACACCAATTTGCCCATAATGCTGCAGGAAGAGGGTGACAACGCTGCTAGAATTTCAGCAGTGATCTTGCAGTGTTGTCATCCCTCTCTTGGAAATAATGTCACTTGACTGCATTGTTTAAACAAAATGTTGCTCACAGAGAAGAGAAAAAATACATGTGGACATCCAGATACAGATAAGACAAAAGGACTTACCTCTTCAGCGGTCACCATGGCAATGACATTCACTCCCTGCTCCCAAACCATCTGCCAGAAATCGTGGAAGGTTTGAGGTAGAGGACCTTGGGTGGCGATGTAATGCCATTCTCTCTCACCTACCACCACCTGTGTAATACAAGACCAGGAAATTAGGGGTCTGCACAGCAATTGTCCACAAGAATAAAATGAGTTCAATTTTAGATGAGCTCCACAGAACTGTTCATTTTATTTTGAATAGAGAAGGAAAGGGTTGGATCCTATGCAGGTTTTTATTTCCCTTTACAACCCTGCTGGAGAGAACACCCTTCACCTCTTAAATGCAAAGTGTAGCGCTAAATAAATACTACATAAATATAAATAGTGATACACTCAATCCCCCTATAATGCACATAAAGGGATACAGACACAATTGTGCAACACGTGAATTCCCTCTGTGGGAATATTTCAAGTGCAAGTGATATATAAAATACAATAGTGATTTAATTAACACACAAAAAACAAATCAATAAGATATATCATAAAGCATAAATCATCATAAGCCAGTAATGAATGGACAGAACATGCTCTTTTTCTGTGTTGGTGGTCCGGAGAGCATGTTTTTCCTGTTCATGTTAGCTACCCTATCCATCTCTATATCTAAAGTGTCTGCTGCGTATCCCTTATCAATGAATCTTTGTCTTAGGATAGTTGCCTTATAGTAGGTTTCAATTTCCGCTCAATTACGCCTCATCCTCATAAACTGGCTCTTTGGGATGCTGGCCAGCCATCGCGGGTGGTGGCAGCTATGGGTGGGGATATAGCCATTTCTATCTGATTGCTTGAAAAAGGCTTCTGCAGTGCAGTGTTCACCTTTGTTAATTATGGTAACATCTAGGAAGTTAACTTTATCGGTACTATATTCATAGGTGAACCGGACTCTCCTCTCCGGACCACCAACACAGAAAAAGAGCATGTTCTGTCCATTCATTACTCCTTTCTCCATCCAACATAAAACCATACGTCAAATAATCAAGAAAAATTGGGATGTGCTTAGAGCGGATCCTATCCTCTTTCAGGCCCTACCGGTAAATCCAGAAATTATCTTTAGAAAAGTCCAATCACTGCGTAACACTATTGCCCCCAACATTACAGATCCTCCTCCTCGCCCTAGTCTATTCACTAAGCTCAAAGGGTTCTTTCCCTGCAGAAAATGTCAAATCCGTCAACATAGCAGGATGTCAAAAAAGAAAATTGAGTCGTTTACCTCAACAACAGGAAAGGCCTACGATATATCTACTTTCATTTCTTGCAACACCCGATATGCGGTATATCTTTAGGAATGCCCGTGCCGGAAACAATATGTTGTCCGGACCACCAGGAGACTACGCGATCGATTCCGCGACCACATATATAATATCAAAAGAGGTTTCCGTGAACACTCACTGTCTAAACATTACAGGGAATTTCACCAAAGAAATCCATCATCCCTTAAATTTGTAGGGATGGATATTGCACAGCACCATTGGCGTGGCTCCAATAGATGCAGGCAAGTCTCACGTTTAGAAACCAAGTGGATCTTTGAAATCAAAACTATGACCCCTTTAGGCCACAATGTTGAAGTAGATATAAATTGTTTCATTGATAACAGTTGAGATTTACCATTTTCATTTTTCCTCATACCTGACTATGAATATTATTTTATTATTATTATACAGTATTTATAAAGCGCCAATAGTTCACTCAGCGCTGTACATTACAAAGGGGGACAGAACATGTACAGAACAATACCAATAGTGCAAAACATATCGAGGGCCCTGCTCTTTCGAGCTTACAATCCATTTTATACGTACAGTTAGTGCTAACATAAGGTTTTGTCAATCCATTTTATATATAATTTATATAATTTTATATTTATTATACCTTTATTGGATATTAATTTATTTTTTATTTTCATAATGTATCTTTTTTATATATTGGTTAATCTAACCTTTTACTGTTGATTGAGAACTCGGTTTTATCGACATGTCTTATATTCTATTATTTATGTACCTTCACCGCTTGGGCACATCCGGTGGGGACATATTACACCCCTTCTAATTATACAATTCTTATGTCGTTTAACAATCAGATATACTCTTAATATTATTTGTGTATATTTCTTATGTACACAATATCTGTGTTCAGTTTTTTTTACCATATTCTTTTCGCTTTGATTTGACCACCAGTAAAATGGCGATCGCAATACCCGCGCATGCGCAGTAATGAACGGCGCCTTTTAAGTGTTCTCAAGTTTTTTATAAATATATTACATCAAATTGCACATCTTTTAGTTTATCTTACACCTCCTACAGTATTTTGCAATTTGACTGATCTCCCAAAATATAGTTTTTGTCTATCCCCGCACTTTTATCCTACATAAAATCATGTTGTCTGGATAAGCACCTTCCTGCTTGCGATTTAATCATCAGGAAGATGGGGACTGCGCCACTCGCGCATTCAAGTGCGGATCACCGTGTCCTCTAACCAATAAAATGGCGACTGGAACACTCGCGCATGTGCGGTTCTATGCGCGTCTGCCATATCTGATACCTACAAGAATATGGCGCCAGAGAATGCACAGTGAGCCGAACTTCGGCAAGATGGCACCCGCGCGATTGCGTGCGCATTTACCCTATATATAGAACAGAGTGACGCCCGGCAGGCATGGCATCACCCCTACAGCAGACATGTCTTTACACGAAACGCGTCTAGGAGGAGCCCTTGCACGTCTTGACGTCACGCCGCCGGATAAGGAGGTCCGGCGGCCACCTTATGGTTCACACTGGTCAGTGTATTCAGCAATTCATGCTACTACTACTACTCACAGTCACCTTTTATGTTTATTTTATCCATTTATGCTTGTATTTGATATATTACTAATGCATGCTTAATAAATCCTTTGGAATACTACACTATGAGCACCTATATCTTTATTGCTTTGCACTGAGCTTCCACACCTCAGCCCAGTATTCCAGGTGACCTGTCCAGGCCTAGGAAGCAAGCCCTAAGACCAGACCAGTATTCCCTAAAGGTAGTACTGTGCCTTTCCTTAATATTGTAATTGCCGGATACAACTATAGCATAAAAAAAAAAAAAAAAAAAAGACTTATGTTGGCTTTATATTTCAGTCTAGAAATTTCCATACCATTCAGATACTTCCGAGAAGATTCTATTAGCTCATCTGAAGCAGCAGCAGAGCATAGTACTGTGTTAGGGCACATTCACACAAGGCAAAGACGTGCATCCCCATGCCAGCATCCCATTTGTTTATATTGGCACACATGGCTGAACGGGCACAGCAGCTGTGTCCTAATATAACATGCTGATGGGTGCAGGTCCCCAAAGGCACCCTGCATGCATTCGGGGACCTGCACCCACCCACATGGTTTAGAAGGACACAGTAGTTGTACCTGTGCTTCCATATGTCCCAAGAAAAATGAATGGGACACCGGCAAAGGTGTGCATGCAACAGCTGTGCATCCCTGTGCTGGTAAAAAAATTTCAGTAGACAGGAGATGCATGTCTGCGCCTCACGTGGATGGGCCCTTAGCCATCAACAAAGTGGAAGTTTGGGTTTAGGGTGATACTACTTATTGTCCAACTAAATAGATGCCTGAAGAAGAGTCTAAGAGCCAATAAATGTTAACACCCTAAATTCAAACTTCTACTCATTCCATTCAGAATAGGACTGCCTGTGAATGTATGCAGCACTGAGTGGCCCTTTACACGTCCACATCCAATAGACCTTATGTTACCTTTATATGTGAGGCATTGATGTAGCCAGTGTGGTTTTCTTTGGTGGGAACAAGCTCTACACGGTTTTTCTTCGTAAGGAAGAACTTCGCGTACTCGGTTGCGTTCTGTGTTTTCAGGTAATGCTGCTATGGTGAAAACTCCATCTGCCTTTCTCTTTGGAATCTGTTCATACTCTGTAAACACCATCCCCTCCTCCAGCTTCCGCCTCAAGGCCTTGCACTACAAAGAAAAGACCACAAGGCATGATGATTCAGATGGTAAGAATGACGCCACTTCTCCAGTAGAAAGATAAATTGCTATACTGAGTCCTTGAGGAATAATACAATCACTAGGAGTCCATGACATTGCTGAGATTACTTAAGTCATATTCGGTGATGTGACTCATAAACAAGGAGCCCGAGACCTTCTGCATAAGCCTGCATGTTAGAGTGTACCTAACCTCTCCCCCCCCACCAAACAAACTGTACTACATTGCAGGACACCAGCCCTTAGATTACCTGGTTATCCTACTAGGAATGCATTTCCTGTCTTAAAGTGACAACGCTCACTCACCATACTGTATCTATGAAGGAGCAACGTTGTCACCCTAGGTGTGTTGGGATCTACATAAAAGTTGGGGTAAGGAAGGGGGGGTCTGTAGTCCATATAGATTCCAGCACCAAAACGTACGTCATTTGTCACCATCTCATAGGCATGCGCAATTGTAAGGCGTGACATGTTTGGTATCTACTTACTTGGCATATCTTTTGTATTCTATAAAAAAATGGGTTACATACTGTGCTTTTTTGCATTTAAATAAAAAAAAAAAGTGTATTTTTTTCCCCAAAAAAAAATCCTGTTTGAAAAACCGCTGAGCAAATACCTTGTGACATAAAAAATTGAAAAATCCGCTAACTTATTCTGTAAGGCCTCTGCTTTAAAAAATATATAATGTTTGGGGGTTTTAAGACATTTTCAAAAAATACTGATTGTAACATGTAAACAAAAAGAAATGGCTTGGTCTGGACGTGGGTATTCTGCATTCGGATATTAGAGGTACATATATATATACAGAGATTGATTTACCAAAATTGGAGTGTGCAAAATCTGGTGCAGTTGTGCATGGTAACCAATCAGCTTTTAACTTCAGTTTGTTCAATTAAACTTTGACAATAAAACCTGGAAGCAGATTGGTTTCTATGCAGAGCTGCACCAGATTTTCCACTCTCCGCTTTTAGTTAATCAACCCCAAAGTGCAGGTGTTAACCACTTGCCCTCCTGAGGATTTACCCCCCCCCCCCCCCCCCCCCCTTCCCTGACCAGGCCATTTTTTGCATTATGGCACTGCGTTACTTTAACTGACAATTACGCGGTCATGCAATCCTGCATCCAAATTAAATTTATGTCCTTTTGTTCCCCACGAATTGAGCTTTCTTTCGGTGGTATTTGATTGCCTGTGCATTTTTTATTTGTTACGCTATAAAAAAAAAAAAAAAAAAATTTTGAGAAAAAGAAGTATTTTTTACTTTTTCCTATTAAACATGTCCAGTAAAAAACTTTTTTTAAAAAATCAAATTTCGTTATAAATTTAGGCCAAAATGTATTCTGCCACGTCTTTGCTAAAAAAAAAAATCCCAACATGTGTAAATGAATTGGTTTACGTGAAATGTAAAGTGTTTACAAATGGCGGTATATATACTGCAATTTTTATTTTTTTTTATTTTTTACTAGTAATGGTGGCGATCAGCAACTTATAGCGGGTCTACGGCGGGTATTCGGATACTGGGGGAAACTGACTTGGTATCACTGACATCCCAGTGACAGCAATACAGTGATCAGTGCTAAAAAAGCACTGACACTGTACTAATGGCACTGGGCAGGAAGGGGTTAACATGAGAGGCAATCAAAGGGTGTGTGCTGTTTTACATAGTGCTGTGTCTGTGTGCTTCACTGTAAGCACACTGCTTTGCATGGCTGTGTTGTGCACAGCCATCCAAAGCAGTGTGCACAAGCTGACAGGGAGGAGAACTGTTTTGTTTACAAACAGTTCTCCTCCCATCAGAGATGCTCAGCAATCACCGGGCGCCGGCGAGTAATCATCAGCTGGTACCCAGTGATTGACAGCCGCAGCCGCCGTGATTTTGCGCACCTGTGCCGCCCTGTAGCAGTATATTATTATTATTGTTATACAGGATTTATATAGCGCCAACGGTTTGCTCAGCGCTTTACATTATAGTGGGAGACAATATATATCTGCTATAGGGCGGTCTGGAAGTGGTTAAGCTAATATTCATGCGTGCTTTGGCTTGTCAACAACAAATCCCAGCAATTTCGGGTGCTCGGGAGGCACAGGTACAGCTTCCAGCCCTGCTAAATCCATGACAGGTGGCTGTTGAATGTAGCGTCTAGGGCCATATGCGTTCAAAGATGTATGCCCTGAATGCAGGAATTCTGCACTTGAGACATAAGTCCCTGAACATATATGGCCCAAAATGCGAGCACCACTTGGTATTGCACCAAGTAGTGCTCGCATTTTGGGCCATATATGTTCATTGTGTTCAGCCGCCATGTATTTCAGCCTGCTGCTGGCACGTATGACTTGCAGGCGCCTGAAAATGCAGGGACTGGATGCAGGCGAGCCAAACCACTCATGTGTATGAGGCCTAAAGCTGCAAAATGGTTGAGGAGATTTTTTTTTTTTTTAAAGCTTTCCTACTCATGTGACTCATTGAGCAGTTTGCCCCAGCTGCCCAAAAATCAGCACACAAACAAGGTGAACGTTCAGAGTCAGAGGTTAAATTCACACACATTTCTCTTTGTATTCCGAGCAGACAGACAAAGCTGAAGAGAAAACAGTCTTACCCTCTCATCGACTGGCACGATCACAGTGTCATTCTGCCTGTCCTCGGGCAAAGGAATTCTGGAAACAGACAGTCCATTGAGCGCTGCCAACATCAAGGGTCTCTTCTGAGTTTCCAAGGCTGCCATCTCCTGCTTTTGTAAATTCTTTTGGCAAGAAAAGACATGTTTTCATCTTTTGTCAGTCGTGCCAGCAAATATTGGAATGTTTCTAATCCTAAAATCAACAAACGCTAAGCCAAGTAGTGCTGGCGCATACGATTCAAAGCAGAACACTTAGAAAATGATATAAAACTTATTTACAACTTCCTTTTAGAATCATTTCACACAAAAAGAGCTCAGGAAGGGCCAAGAAGCCTAAAGTACAATTTGATTGAAATAAAAGAACAATTAATTAAATGAATAAATATAACAGAGATATGAATGTGAACGGGTGGCAAGTTATCAAGGTACCTTTAGAGATCTGGTGCCAATTATCCTCTGGGGTTTTTTTTTTTTTTTTGGCAGGTTGGACTTTCCCGGCAGTTTGTTTTTTCCCAGGAGCATAAGCAGTGGATGGCTGGTGTATGTGCAGTCCATAAATATGAACTTTCAGGTGATATGAGATTTCATGTTTTGCACCTAACATTAAAATAGAACTCTAGGCAAAGCTTTTTTTCCCCATTTTGGATAGAATAAGGGAGGGTTAGATCCCCATTTTTTTGTGGGAGATTTACCTTCACTTCCTATCCCATAGCCTAAACAGGAAGTGAGAAAAACTCTGCAAATTAAAAGGCATTCCTTGGGGACCCCCAGGTCACTAGAACTAGTGTCTCCATAGGAAAAGTTCCCCTCAATTACTTGTGTGTTTTTGTTGTTTTTTGTTAACTTTCACTTTCAATGATAATGGCAAATAGGACAATTAGAGAGGATTAATCAACCCAATGGGGGCATAGAGTGCAATAAAAAGCTGACAGGGGTTCTAATCCCTCTACACTTTGTCCAAAATTAACAAAATTTAGTTATAGTTTAAAGTGGTATTAAACCCAAAAGCAAACATTTATTATATTGCAGCTTACTAGTTCGTAGATGTGATGGATGGCTGCATTAGTTTTCTTTTTTAGGCTTTCTTTCCTTTATTTTTTTCCTGGTAATCCTGCCTGTAAGTCTGTTGTTTTTCAACAGAACAAGTTCTCCTGCAATTGTAGCAGTTAAAGGTGTTGAGACAAACCATCTACCACTGACAGGGGTGCTTTTATTTATATAAAACTTTTATCCCAAAAAGGGAAAAAAAACTGCTGTAAATTGCTTATAAAGTATGACCTGAAATTTGACTTCAATTTGTTAGTATATCTAAACCTGCTAGTACATCTAACACTTCGTATTTAAATTATAAAAGGTGAGGCTATAACCATGAGATGAGCTGTGTGGTACATTGATATCGGGGGAGTCATACCCCACAATAAGCGCAAAAAAATTTAACAACTAAGAAAAAAAAAGTATATTCTAGGGTGTCCCACAGATATTTATGTTTACTGTATAGCAAATCAACTAAATGGACATAAATTCACTATTAAAAAAATGAACAATGGTTTTTATTAAACATATATTAAAAAAACGTTTAATATAGGTTTAATAAAAAAAATTTATTTATTTTTTTATAGTGAATTTATGTCTATGTAGTTGATTTCCTATAAGGTACATATAGATATCCGTGGGCAACCCTAGAATACCCCTTTTTTCTTAGTTATTACTCTACATCTAATACTCCCCTACCCCTGACCGACAAGGCTGCTGTCCAAAGGTGCCCCCTGTGCTGCTTCATCCAGAGTGGGGGCACTCTAATACATGAGGTGTGTTACTGGCCAGATCACCAGGTGAAAATAAGGGGGAAAAAGCATAAAAAGAAAAACTACCAACACTTCTAATAATTGGTAAGCTGTAATATATTCCATTTTTGGTTTAATACCGCTTTAAAGTGTATGTACAGCCAAAACTCGTTTGTTAGTTTCTAATAGAATAGTTAAAGAAAACCCCAGTCCCAGACCATTCGTCTAAAAAGATGAATTCCAGGTGTGGATATTTTTGCATTTACATTTGGTCCAGCTTGGACCAAATGTAAGAATGCATGTGTCATACCTGGAAGATCCCTGTGGAAGCTGGAAATCACTCTAGAAGGCACTGCTACTCCAGTTATCGCCACCAACTTCCGGGTCACTTCCCAAGTGGCTGTCCTTCTGCTTAGCCTAGTACAGGCATCATTCACAGAACACTTTGCATTCTCTCAATGAATGCGAGGGGTCCTCTGACTGGAAGAGGTGGAGATCGTGACATCACCCCACCTCTCCACCACATCCAATCAAAGAATGCTTTGCATTAACTGAGAAAATAAAATGCAAAGTGTTCTCTGAATGGTGCCCACGCTGTGACCTTCTGTGTTCACTAAGCAGCAGGACAGTTGCTCGGCACTGGCCCCAGAAGCTAGGGACAATCACTGTAGTAGCAGTGCCCGCTACAGTGATTTCCAGCTACCCCAGGTATGACACATGCATATTTACATCTGGGCCAAGCTGCTGTATACAAATGTAACTATGAAAAAATACGCATACCTGGAATTCAACGTTAAACAAAAATCTTCCCATATGTTTATACTGTATGTACATGCAACGTAGTTTATAATTATCAGCAAAATCCACAATGGTGAAGAGATTCGAAATCCCTGAGACTGCTGCTGGGCGCCGCCATCTTGGATGTGATGTCAGCAGGTCCAGAAGACTCAGAGTTGTCACTATAGTATTTCTCTTGGCTATATAAAAGGTTATATACTATATAGTATTCTTCTTGGCTATACAAACGGTTATGAGGGGCGGAGTAAAGGAGCTGAACCAGCACAGACTGCCATTGTACCCTCCCAATAAAGGAAAGGACTATGACATGGAAGGAGGGAAGGGGGTGCGCTAAGGAATTGACTCCTGTAATAGTCAAATTTTGTAGCACGTTGGAAGACACAGTGGAAGTGAACAAAAAATGATTTATCGAATCGAAAACCACTGCAATTCCGAATATAAAATTACTTGATTGTAATTTTACCCACAATTTTTTCTTTTGGAGACAGGGTCTCTAAGAATTATCAGATTTTATTTTTTAGCTTTTTGATGTTGTCCAAATCCCTTTGGGTAAATTTCCACATTTCCTGCACCAGAGGCACAACAAGTCAAGTAAGGGGAAAACTCTTAAAGAGAGGTGATATCCCCTCTTAGACTTTTGTTACTGAAACAGGTTTTCCCATTGGAAAATTTGCCCTCTACCACTGCCCCTGTGACAACTGTAACATTCTGGACTTCCCATCACTGTCTGAACTGGAGACATTTTTCACTAGAGCAACAGAAAGGGTGAATCTCCCCACAAATAGTGGGAGGGGGCACAAACAGGAGGATTAATACTTCCTCACTCTATATACTGAACTAAAAAAAATGTTGGCTTTACATACACTTTAAAGTTGTTGTAACCTCAGACATGAAATATGAACATAGCATAACCTTCTAAAGTGTGTGCTTGTCTCAATACAGAGCACTGTGTCATTTCTGACTGCTGCTTTGTTCCTCTGCTATCAGCATTAATTACTTCTGACAAGTTTTCCTGACACCAAGAGAAAAATGGTGACAGGGGAGGGACCTTCAGCAGATTGACAGCCTCAGCTCTTTTCCTGTGAGCTGTGTGTAGGGTGTGTGTCTATTCCCTCCAATCAGCTCTACGGATTTCCTCACTGAGCTCTGCAGAGTTTAATTTCAGCTCTCCCTCCCCTTTTTTCTGACAGCTCAGACAAGCTTTATACATTTTGAACGGATATAAAGAAGAGAAGACTGCAGATAGACAGGTATAACTTATGTAGGAGGATTTGTTTCATCTCTGTGTATCACCTGAGGTCAGTCACTTCACTGGGTAAATGTAAGGGTTTACAACCACTTTACACTTGGTCGCTTGGTTTCTACCCGTGTTTTCAGAAATGCGGAAAAGTGGGAAATGCGCTTGCTTTGCTATTATTTCTTAAGGGCACCCCAAACATGGTACAATTTTGGCACGTTTGTTGTGTGTAAATTGCACCAAAACATGCATTATCAAGCATGTCTGGCTCAGTTGCAAAATCTGGTACATGAGATTCTTTGGTGTTTGTCGTACTTCTATAGTCTGCCCTATGTACGATGCACTGAAACGTGCAAAAACCGTGAACAAACATTTATGCTGTGAATAGGGGCTTAGGCTAGACTTACACTTGTGCACTGTGTCAATACACAAAAAGGATTAATGAGCCCTAATTTAGGTTTTTAAAAAACCTTGTTACTATATATAATATGTAATTATGCAGGTATATAGGCAGCCATATTCACTTAATACATACTCATGCACCAGTCCCTGCTTTACAGTGCTACACAATGGTTGGGTCTTACTGCTCCTCCTCACAATGCACACTTATTAATCAGCTGATTCCTTAAAAGCCATGCACTCCCTGTGTAGTAGATATATTATCTCAACAATTGTTAACACAGGCAAGAGAGAAAGTTTAATCCATGGAGATTTTCCTTTAGATCTCAATGCCTTAATTACATGATGGACCTATGGTAGACACCTCAGAGTGAGCTGAAGGATAACGGAAAGGACACAGAGCAGAAAATCAAAATGGCGGGTCAGGTGGAGGAAACACGAAATCAGCTTTAAACCAGGTCCTATCATCCAACCCTATTTGCGATATTTTTAGTGAATTATTTTGTTACATACCCTCATCATGATCTCCCTTTCAACTATGGCATCTTCTGCAGAAAACATCTCTGAGACTGGCCGTTCCTTCACCGGCTCTTTCTTGACCCTCTCCTTTACACTGCTGAGATCAGGCTCTGAAATTGATGGCCCCAGAGAGGTCCCATTGATTGGTCCTGGCTCATTTCTTGACATACACACATTCTGTGATTGCCGGGGGCTCATGGCCCTGGCCCGTGCTATGGCAGCTGATATACTTGATGGATCATGTCTAAGTGCTCCATTGCTGACACTTTTTCTTGGACCTGGATATTCAGGTGGTGGTTTATTTGGTATTCGAGCCAGGGCAGCCTGGAGCTGGGCACTGTATGAAATGAAGGAAGTGTGAGGCACAG